GGCTATTTCCGTCACGCTCTCGGCTATTTCCACCCGCCTCTCAGCTTTTCCCGCCCTTCTGGCGGCGCGTGCGCAGTCGCCCCTCAGCGCTGAGGGAAGGTGTGAGGCGCCGAGGCGCGGCCGCCGCTTCCCGCCCTCCCCCGGGCTGTGAGGGGCTCGGGGCCGGGGTGGGCTCCCCTCACGGCTGGTGCAGGGTATGGCCGGGCTGCCGGTGCTCCCTGAGCCGTCAGTGACCGCCCAGGTGAGCAGCACAGCCCCTGGCTGAGGGTACCCCCGTCCCCTGGGAGCCTGAGGGGAGCTGGGCAGCGCTGCTGAGGGACTGAAAATATCCGCAGATTAAAAAATTACCTGTAAAAAGTTAGTCACTCGGTCAGAAATTATTATTATTTTTATTTATAAAGCAGTAATGGAAGTATTAGTAACATTGTTCTGAAATGGTGTAATTTATTCCTTGCTGCTGCAGGTGCCCGTGGGATGGAGGTGCTGCTTTACCAGGTGTGTGGCATTAAAACACTGGTAAAGTGTTTTATCCCACTGGTAAAGTGTTTTATCCCACAGCTTTCTCATGCTCGAGTCACACATGAATCACAGGTGAGACCAGGGTAAGTGAATTATTGCTGATTGATTCCTTTCTGCCTTATTGATTGTGTGAATAGCTGTGTGCTAGGAAATTATTTAAGGAAATTATTTAGGAAAACTATTTAGGAAACCCAGGATCACCTAAAGTGTGACTGGCAGGCTTGTGATGGTTTGGGCTAGTGGATTTTTCAGTGGACACTCTGTATTCATATGGAGAGGAAAGGAAAATCAGTGATGGTATCTTCTGGCTCCCATAAGGAATTGCCCTAACTCTGCTTTTCCTACTCATTTCAAATCAGCACTGAGCATTAATAAGGAATTCCTCACTTGTGTAAGGGTAAAGTTGAGAAGAAACAGGCTGTGGCAGGAAGAGGCTTTCAAATAACATTATCAAGTGATTCCCTTTAAATCATCCCTAACGAGGGGACACGTGTAACCTACTCTGAGTCACTCAGGAGATCGAGGACATACAGGGACACGTACAGGGCTGCAACAGCTGAGAAGGCTTCTCCTGTACAGACAGCAGATCCATCTTTCTGGAGTGTCACTCCGCTCATCTCAACCATTGCAATGGTTAATTTTCCTTCCTTCTCTCGGGGGAAGGAGAGCAAGCTGGCATCCACGTGGAAACACCCCTTCCTCTCTTCTATGTCCTGGTCCAAGATGCTCTCAACCTTCAAAGCAACAACAATAAAAAATCAGTATTTTGATACTCCCATCTGTGGAAGTCGTTAAATAAGTAAATGATATTTTTGACTCGTGAGGTGCTTTACCATCTTACAGGCACACTAAATAATCCACACTTAGATATGGGACTTTTCACTCTGAAAGATAATCATGCTCCTGTATTTAGCTCTCATGTGTGTTTATTATTCCAAGAAATTAAAATTGTAGTGTGTTTTTGTGGTTTTTGGGTTTGTTTTTTTTTTTTAATCTGGAGCCAAAGAAGCCAGAAAATTCTGACAACCATTTCAAGAAAAATGGTATTCACCTTTGTCTATTTAGTGTTTATTATCAGCTAAACAGTTATAAACCTTAAGTCTTGATGTTTTGGGGTGATTTCTTTCAAAGTGAGTATTTTGATCCTTGCCAAGTTGGAAGCAATTATTCCTTCCTTTCTTCCCAGTGTAAGTTGAGATACTGGTACCATTATCATCATCTAAATGTGTCTTTACCTGACATAACACCCCCTTGTCACTTCATTTTGAGCCAAACCTGCTGTGTGTTCTCTTACCAGCTTCAGCTGTTGGGACACAATCTTGTTTTCCAAGGACTCCAGCAATAGCAGCAGCTGATCCTCCGTTAATTCTGCAGAATTAAAACACATTTATACCCCAAAAAAACCCCCCCAAAAATCCCCCCAGTGTTTCAGAGACTGGTGAGATGTGAAGGGTGACTGCCAGCTGTCCTGCAGGGAATGTCTCTTTGGTCAGAACTTCTTCAGATGTTTTTAACTAAATTAATTAGTTTATCTCTCCGTGAGATGAATGCAGCGGTGACTTTGGGTCCGGGTGACGGTAACATCGAGTATTGGGACTGAGGGGGTTGAGGGAAGGTTCAAGCCATATTTTGTGTGGGAAAAGAATGTGCAGTGCTCTTTCTGTAAGGCAATCTTGCCATCTTTCCCTGTGTTTTAATTCTGATTTCAAGCTCTCTTTTCAAGGGTCCCTTTGTGCACGCTGCTCCTGGGGTGAGCAGTAATTCTGTGTAACGCTCCCGGCAGTCACTGCTGTGACTCAACAGCTGCTACAGACAGGTCTGTGCTCTCAACACAAACCACCTTCTTTCCCACAATTTAAGAAATTATTTTATATAAATCCTCTGCGAGTCTCTCACTCTTAATTTTTTTCTGGATTCTAGTCTTGCTGGGAGGGGTACACTTAATATATTGTGGTGCTTTAAAACAGCCTCACCATCTAACGCATCGAGAGTGTAGGTGACTGCTCCTGCCAGCTGAAGGAGGAGATGTCTTGGAGTGTGCTGTAAGCTGCTCAACAGGTCTTTAAAGTCTGGGCTTTTTGTTTCCAGTTTACAACTATCAGTTTCATCCAGAACTGCTTCCATCTGAGGAGAGAAGAAAAAGAAATGTTGGGATTTAAGAGAAGAGCTGCTGATAGCCCCTTGCAGTCTAACTACAGAGGTGTATCAGTGGACAGTGTGATATGTTTCTCTCCTCTCTAAGCTATTTATGAGGCTGTAAGTCAGGCTTTAGTGTTCACACTGGCTCCAACTGAAGACAGGATATGAAATTTAAATGGTCTGATACCTTCAGATAAATCTGCTAGGCTATATTCAGTATTTCAGGAGTTGACTCTGTCCTGGGCACCTTCTTTCTCTGTATGGTGATGAAGACCAGACAGATGTGCTGAGTGAAGGATTTTTGGATAGTTGTGGCACAGGAGAGATGACTGCTGGGGCAGCAGATGTGATCATGGATGTCTCTGTACTTAAACATCCTGGCAGTAAGAAGAACTTTGCTTACTTTGTGGGTCAGCTCTTGAAAGAGGTTCCTGTTTCTCATCACAGCTTTGATGGCTTTTAAAAATATGCCGAGCAGAGCGGAAGACAACTTGGAGAGAACTTGACAATTCTCTTTAACTTCCACCTCCAGTTCTTTTAATTTTCTTTGTGGGTGTATTATGCATGACTTCATCACTAATAAACCTGAAAACCAGAAAGAGTTCGAATGTGTCACTTGTAAACTAGGCGATCCCACAGGAAGTTCCCTGGCAGCCCTGAATTTAGGATTTTCAACATTTCTATTACTATTTTCAAGAGCAATATGCAATTTGGAGTTGGACACTTGTGGTGTCTCGGGTACTAGGCAGTACTCTCAGTAAACACTTTGCTTTTGGTGGTTTGTGTTTATCCTGAGGGATTCCATCTTACCCAAAAGGGGTAAAAGTAGTGCAAGTGGAATCATAGAATCCCAGACTAGTTTGGGTTGGGAGGGACCTTAAAGATCATCCAGTCCCAACCCCCCTGCCAGCAGCAGGGACACCTTCCACTAGACCAGGTTGCTCAAAGCCTCATCCAGCCTGGCCTTCAACACTTCCAGGGAGGGGGCATCTACAACTTCCTTGGGCAACTTGTTCCAGTGTCTCACCACCCTCACAGTGAAGAACTTCTTCCTAATATCTCATCTAAACCTCCCCTCTTTCAGTTTAAACCCATTTCCCCTTGTTTTGTCATTAACTGCCCTTATGAAAAGTCCTTCCCCAGCTTTCTTGTAGCCCCTTCAGGTACTGGGAGGCCGCTATAAGATCTCCCTGGAGCCTTCTCTTCTCCAGGCTGAACAGCCCCAACTCTCTCAGCCTGTCCTCACAGCAGAGCTGCTCCAGCCCTCGCATCATCCTGGTGGCCCTTCTCTGTAAAATACATTGCTCACCATCAGATACGAAGGTTGATCTGCTTTTTTGTGAAAAATAGTCAAGATCTGCAAGAGAATAAAAAGGGCATTGTTGATGTAGAAGCATACTTAGAGCTGGATAGTTGGGTTTTTGGGTTTTTTTTTATCAGTGATGTTTTTAAGGCTGAAGATACTGGTGTCCTGACATGCTGAGTCACAGGTCAGACTAGTGTTTGCACTCTTCTCCAGCACATCCATCTTCTGCCCCTTCATTTAAAGCTCATTATTCCTGTCCCTCATTCCCTACTGCCATGTGCCTTATGGTGGGGTCTGTATTGGCCAGGGTGTGTGTTAGAATGTGAGGAAATTCAAAGGACAGTTTAGACTCAACAAGATCTGCTCGAGCAGAGTGTGGGGGATGCAAATCAAACGTGGTGTCTCAGATCCTGCGGCGGGTTCTGTGGATCTCGATCCTCTTTACCTGTCCAGCACAAGCATCTTTCACACCAGTCATCCCACCAAAGGGATGTTTTTTTCCCCTGACTTTTTTCTTCTGAGTAAGAAAATTAAATAAACTAAACCCTGCTTTCTGTACTGTTCTTCAACAGAGGCTCTGCACGTCCTGAAATGTAGAGCTGAGACTTCCAGGATCTCTCTTTTCTTACCAACTGCCCCCAAAAGTGCATCTCCTTCCCAAGCAGCTCTTTTAACTCACATACTCTGTAGGGCCTTTTCCCAGGTGATGGCTGTCACCTGTGCTGTGTGTGTAGGTGCAAATGAGCTAAGGGTGGCTGCGAGGCTGGGTGACACTTGACAAAATGTTTTTCTTTATCTGCATTGTTTCCTGACTGGAGGAATTGGTAATTTCTGGAAGTTACTCACCCCAGGATCCCTCTTTAATGGCCAGCTGGATCACCCTGAAGGCCAGGGTGCAGCCCTTGGGTATAGTTATACTTGTGGTGTTCTCTCTGGTGCCCTGGGCAATTAAAAATGATATCTGTTACTTGGCCTGGATGGGGTGCGGGTGTTGGGGGAGGACTGACTGACTCCTGGGGGTGAAGAGAAATCAAACCTTTGCACAAAACTTGGCATAAAGCTGGGTCATGAAGCTCCCCTGTGCCGTGGTGGATTCCTCGTAGCTGGTCTCCTCGGAGGCTTCTATCGTTTCATGCACGATGTATAAATTCTGGTCTGTTTTCTGGAGTTGTTGAATGAAGGAGTGATTCATGTTTATTTTTCTAAAGGAGGAAAAAGGAGGCAACGTCCTGGGTAAAAGTGAGAAAACTCACTTTTTCCTGTGAATTTTGTCAGAAATACTGCTGTCTACTCGGAGCCAGAAGCCTTGTGCTTGCACCCTGTGTCACGTTACGTGAGGACACGTACATATTGCAGTGTCAGGGGCTTCTGGGGGGGATAAAAAGGTGGCAGAAAATGGGCTGCAGTTTTTGCTGTCCTCAGTGTGTTCCTGTCCTGTGTCTGAGGGGTACTGGGGCAGCGAGGCCGTGGCCTGGAAGGTCACAGAGGTGATGTGTCCTGATCTATATCCTCCTCTCCAGGGACAAACTGTGAGCAGAGGTGGCTTGGCTTCATGTTGAGGTGTTCCTGCTTTCTGAATTACAAAGAACTCCATGAGCATTCCAAAAGCTCAGTAAGGAATCTTTATCACCTCTCCTTCCTGGCCTCCAGAAGTGTGTGTGGTGAGGGAGAATCCTTGCTTTTGGGTCTTAATCTTGGTTTTTTGGCTGTGGAAAACCCCTGGTGTGACGTGGCTGAGGATAACCAACCATGTGGCACGTTCTCCCTTTGACTCTGCCTTACCTTTCTGCTTTCAGTGCCTGAAGTTTTGGTACTGGTATGTGTTTCTTCTCCAGCTTGATGACCCAGCCTTTGGACAAGGAGGCAGCTCCTGTCAGCTCTATGCTTGTAGAGTCAAAAGAAAGGCTGAGGCTCCCATCCACTCTGTCACTGATGCTTTTCTTGAGTGTGAACTGCCTGGAATCGTCGCCACCTCCGTGGAGAACGAGGGACTCTGGAATAATTGGATGTGTTAGCTTGAGTTACAGGTATAAATCTCTTTTAATTCTGTCAGGTTACACTGACTCGATATAACCATCGTGTGCAGGAGAAAGATGGAACGTGGTGGAGTTCAGGCACGACTGATCCAAGTGCTTTGTCTGTGGAAATGATGAAGTTAAGATGGATAAAGGTTGGGCTTTACCTGTGCTGTGAGCATCTTCTCTGGGCAGCAGCACGTCCTCGAGTCTGTACCACGTCTGTCTGTAGCTGGGGGATGGCTGGAATACGGCTTTTCTCTTTCTTCTCACCAGACAGAGGGGTCTGAAATGTTCATGGTCCAAGATGCTGTGAACTGGGAGCAGGTCTCCTTTTGGGTCCATTTGATTTACTATGGATTGGGTGACTTTTTTAAACATTCTGCTGCAGCTGGATGGATGTTTTTTGAAGCAAAGCGACGTGTCCTTATGCCTTGAGAAAGAGGTGAGACAGGTTAAGTAAAATGACTTGAAAGATGAGCAGGAGGTTGTAACAAAAGATATTAATTACTATGAACTTTTCAAAATCAATAATAACCCCCCCAAAAAAAAGCCCATATTGGTACAAGGACAGACCTTTCACAGGATTGTGTGTAGAGAAGTGTTTGGAGAGGTAGGAAGATGAGCGGTGGGTTGCTAATGAGACTTGTTTGCTAATGAGGCTTGGTTGCTAATGAGACTGGTTTATTCTCACCCCACTTTGGGGATGGACTCCCAGTCATTGTGCAGACTGAGGGCACAGCAGGTGGAGGCTGCTGCTCTTCAGCGCTGGAATCTCTTACTGTTCCTTCAAAAAGAGATTCTTTTTGTGGCTATCAGTACATACCTTAATCATTTTAATTACTAAACTAGACATTGCTCCTTAACCTAGGACCTGTCATGGTCCCAAATGCTTTAATCTTTAATGAATGCATTGCCCTGATGTCAGTTTATACAGAAAAAAGCTTGAGCAATTTCTTGCTGCTCCTTCCTGCCTCGTTGTTTTTCCCCTGGACATCCCGTCCCCTGACAAGACAGTTCAGTGTTGTTTCGAAATAGAGACGTTGAAAAAGTGATTTAAAGTGATTAAAGTCTTACTGTAAGGAAGTGAAAGTGCTGAGATGTGAATACTGAGTTGAGGGAGGAAGTAGGAGAGCTTCATCTATGGCAAATCTCCCCCAAAATATTAATAAATCATCCCAGCACAGCTCCTCCTCGGGTAGGTCCTGCTGCTCCTGCTGTGCCCCCGCAGCGGAGAGCTGGGTGTTGGAGAGGCAGGAACAAAATCACTGTTGGTTTCCTGTTACAACTTGTTCTGCCTCTAGAGTTTGTTTTGCTTTTTGCTTTGGTTGGTGTCATGAACAACAACTTGGAGCTGCAAACTAAAAAATCTTCCTGTACTTATTGAGAAGCAAAGCAGCTGCAGGTCTGTCCCCTCTTCTGCACCCTGTTTGATCCAGTTTTGTTGGAGAAGAGATGCTGATCATAAAATCACAGAATGGTTTGGATTGGAAGGGACCTTAAAGCTCATCCAGTCCCAACCCCCCTGCCATCAGCAGGGACACCTTCCACTAGACCAGGTTGCTCAAAGCCTCATCCAACCTGGCCGAGAACACTTCCAGGGAGGAGCAGCCACAGCTTCTCTGGGCAACCTGGGACACTGTCTCACCACCCTCCCAGTGAAGAACTTCTTCCTAATATCTAATCTAAACCTCCCCTCTTTCAGCTTAAACCCATTTCCCCTTGTTTTGTCATTAACTGCCCTTATGAAAAGTCCCTCCCCAGCTTTCTTGTAGCCCCTTCAGGTACTGGGAGGCCGCTATAAGATCTCCCCAGAGCCTTCTCTTCTCCAGGCTGAACAGCCCCAACTCTCTCAGCCTGTCCTCACAGCAGAGCTGCTCCAGCCCTCACATCATCCTGGTGGCCTCCTCTGGACTGGTTCTAACTGGTCCATGTCTCTCTTGTGTTGGGGGATCCCTGTTTATGGTTCAGAGGAGTGGATGGGGGGATATCTTCCTATCTTCCCTCTCCCTAATATCCCACTGGGGTCTGAAAAAAGAGATGGATTTAGTCTGATTCTTCCAGAAAGTAGCAAGATTGTCACATGGCAAAGGATGGTGCGTGCGATGGAGCTGAGGAGGGGACATAGTCTCGTGTGCTTCATGTGCAATGGCTTCAGCAGTACCTACAGGACTGTTCCCCTGGGAGACTTCAAAAAGAGGTAAAAACGAAAGGAGGACACTTAGCAGTTGCTCCACCCCTCTTCCACACCGCCAGCTCCTCACACCGCACTCACCTGTCTGTGGGGTGAACGGCTCCTCGGCGGCGGGCGCTGCGCGGAGCAGGGCGCTGCGCTCCGGGCTGATACGGCCTCTTTAAAGCAGCAGCTCTGGGGAAATGCTGTCTCCACGCCTTCCCGTTCACAGATCCGGAAGCATCTGCTAAACGAGGGCACAAAAAGCCTGTTGCTTGTGTAATTCTTCCTCCAAATAGTTTCAGTTGTTGCCCTGAGTCAGCCTGTCATGATCTGTTACAGTGCCTGTGCAGAACTTGGACTTACTCTCTGGTTCTATCATTCCTGTAAGATTTGTTTCATTTCTAGAGCACTTCTGGTTGTCATTTCTACTTCTGATCTGTTAGGATGAGGAACAGTGTGTTCTGGTTTAGGAGGATTTCACTAAACCTATGGGAGACCCAGCTCCTTAGGTGTGGTGGGGACAAGATTATGTTTCTGGGGACACTTTTTGACCAGTGGTGCACACGTCTGTGGTTTATGGCTCGTTGTTAGTAGCAGAGGGTTTGTGTGAGTGGCTGCTGTGGTACCCACCACGCCGTGGGCTGTGAGCTCTTTGCTTCACTGCCATCCTTCACTTGGTGGGGTGTGGAATTGCTCTGCAGTGTTCATTTGTTGTGCTTGTTTAGAAGCAAAATCCATCCGTGTAAAAATTCAAGAGATCAAACACAAGTTTTTACATGAATACTTTATTAGTTTCTCCTAGAATACTGTACAAAGGATTAATAAAAATATTCACACTTTATTTTAGAAAGTTCTCTACACGAGACTTCTGTATACACAGCAAAAAGAAAGGCTACTGGGGGAAAAACCAAACCCCTAAAACTATGTACAGTGTCAGAATGTTCCATTAAAAAAACCCCAAAACACAAAGCAACTAATTTAGCTCACTTGAACTGATCCAAGGAGGATACACAAACATTTGCATGCTTAAAAAGATATTGTAGGCAATGATAAAGCAAGGTTAGTCACAATGAGAAATATAATGCTGTTAACAGTGGTAACCAGCTGCTGTCCCCTTTTCCAGGGCTGGTACCATGTCTGTTAAAACAAACAAAAAATTAAACTATGATTAAAAAAAACCAAAACAAAACCTCAGGAATTAAGTAGCCCTAGATCTCAGGATTTATTTTTTCTTTTCTTTTCTTTTAAAGGCTTTTTCCTGCAGAGGGTTGGACTGTGTGACATCCTGTTACCGATGTTCAATGAATCCCAAGACAGGATCCCTAATTGGGAAGCATCAGGCTGTGAGTACTCGATTGTTTCCTGACTTTCCTGGTGCAGTGACTGCTGTACTGTGTCAATACACACCAGGTCTTCACAGTGAGAGTTACAAGAGGCTTTGCCCAGGACAAGATGGGGCAGAGGGATGCTTCTGCCTGTGCCTGTGAATGGTTCAAATGGTGGTTTTCAAAAGCTTTTCTCCTTGGGCATTCATTGCAGAACAAAAAAGAAAAGCATTTTAAGTACCTGCTTATCCAGTAATTGTTCCTCAGTCCCAGGATGGAGCTCACCTTTAATTCTCCAGCTGATGTTTGTCCTAGTCACTCTACACGGAGCCAGTACAAGTTTGAGAAGAAAATCTGTCGAGTGTGCTGTGATCAAAATCCCAGTTAAAATCAATAACCAACCATTATCTCCTTCACACAGGTACTGGGAGGAAATTCTGTAGTCTGAAGGAATGAACAGACAGTCCTTACACTCCCAGTCTGGTTCTCCACCATAAGGTAGGCTCCCCCGTGGGTCACTGCTGTGTCAGCTGCATGTCCCTGTCTGAAACTCCCTGGTCCTGCCCATCCTGTCCTGATCTCCCTTCTCTCAGAAATTCCTTATCTCAGGAGAGTTTTAGTGTTCTGATTACGCTTTTTAACTTGTGTCTGAGCAAGAGTGGCCTTTGAGTGCTGAACTGGCTTCTACACTAATTTAGGAGACACAAATAAACTGAAGTGGTTTCAGTACAGAGCTCCAGGAGGCCCAGAGCTGTGTCTGTTACTTCCAGGTCCCTGCAGTGGTGGTTTCCCAGTGGCAGCTTCACCAGGAACCGCTCGCCCCTGTGATACCAGCAGGAAGGAGCCACAGGACTGTGGGGGTGACTCGACCAGCAGCACCCAAACCTTTCACTGCAACGACCCCAGGTACACCTACTGAGTAGCAGTTGTGACTGTGCTTTAATTACAATTAACTTATGGTTTATTTTCTATTTTTTATTAATTCTGATGCCTCCCCTTAAGACAGGATCTTAAGGAAGATGCTATCAGATGTATAATCATTCAAGTAATTATTAATCTAACGTAGATACTTAACACACCACATTATTAACATGAGATCCTCCTTCAACTCTCTCACTTCTCTCTGTATTTCTCCACTTTCCATTTACATTTCCTTTGACTGGATTTAACTGCACGAGTCCAAGTCACCTTCAGTTATTCCCTGGCAGAAATGCCATCCCTGTGTTGTAAAGATGACATTTGCCGTGTCACACGTAGCTGTGTAATGGCTGTTTCAATCATTTGTGTGAACAAAGTAAAGCAGAAAAGCTCATCATCATTAAGGCTTTGCCTTAACAAGAAGTTTTAGACTTTAGGCTTTAAAAACTGCTTTTTTTTTTTGAGAAGTTCATGATCCCATTCTGTTTTATAGCTCATCTTTAATTTAACAAAACAGAATCAGATGTTCATAGTCTCAGTGAACAGCACAAATAACATGTTCAAACCCTCAGCTCTTGTAAGGACAAGGCCTTCAAGGAAACTGAAGTGCCATTCTTTGAGAAGAGCTGATCCCTACTTTCAATTTATACTAAAAATACCAAAACTGCTTTGACTTTGTGTGCATATACTTAGAAATAATCAGTATATGTCTGTCCATGAGGAGTGATGTTTCTAAGCACATAGTGACTGTTTCTGTTGTAAAGTTGATGTTTTTCCCCCCTCATATTCTACCCAAATCAATAAAGAGTTTTCCTTCCTCTGGAGATTTGCCACTGGTATGTCAGTTGTGTCTGCAGGCAGATGTTCAGATCTCTTAATTAACATCCAGTCTGTGGAAGGGACACGGCCTGAGCCATCCTGGCAAGGACAGACCCTACAGCTCTGAGTGCAGTGTCCTTTCCCTGAGCATCCAAACATTGACACTGTTCATTTCTTAGTCATTTCAAAGGTATTTAGCTGATTGATGAAATATCTCTATTTTTAAAACAATATTTTATTTTATTTCCCCCCCCAAAAGTCATTGTCTAGTAGCTTAAAGAGTAGATTAGCTTTAGGGTATAGAGTACCTTAACTAAAGCAGCAGTCCTCATGTCACGGTGGTTAAAAGATTTAACCCCCTCATCAAGTAAATTGCTGGAGATCACCACTCAGGTATCAAGCCAGATTCTTTTCTCTTTCTACCTTCTTGAAAACTTCCTTTTCACTTAAAACATTTCCACTTTTCAAACCTATTAGGTAATGATTCTCTACGCATTCCAGCAGCCCTCTGAGGTACACTAAATGTCCTTCCCTTCTCCGCAGCAGTCTGAGAGTGAGTCTGAGATAGAGAAGTAAAGCAGCTCGCCTAAAATTACACATGGAGTAGCTGTACTAGATCTTATACACAACCCTGAAGTTCCCCATCCATGTCCTGTGCTCAGACCATCAAACTGAGCCACTCTGACCTCTAAGGCTAGAACTGGCTAATGCAGGAACAGAAAAACAGCGTATTTAAAAAGGTTTTATACTATTGTCAAAGGTGTGAGACAATATAAGCTCTTAAGACAACAAAAATACAGACTTTCAGGAGCTGACAGGGGAAGCATGAGGAAAAACACATTTCATCCAGCACACAACCCTAAAGAAAAACCGATTGCTTTGAACAGCAGAAAGTCATCTCAGCCAGGAAATCTGAACCTGCAAACCTGCTTTATTTAGATGGCAACTTTATGAGGGAAAAAGGCTTAATTTCCTTCTTATACCAAGTAATCTATTCTCAGTGACCCACTGCAGCCTTCTGTTGGGTCACTTCAGTCTGGTGCTGCTCCCTCCCCGTTCCCACCATCACCTGAGGGCTCAGGGGATGCTGCTGTGGAGCTGAGTGACAGACTTCCAGGTAAGCCAGAAATCAAACGCTCTCTTGCCTCGAGTCAGCTACTGAGTTAAGTCCACTGGCAAATCCCAGTAACACCTACACAGACTCAGGAGACCACAGAGCTGGACTGAGGAGAAAACAACTCCAATTCTAGTCATTAATCACTGCCAGTGAGCTGCCATCCGTCTCTGGCTTGGCCTGTTCCTGGCAGTTCTCAGCTTCTCCCACACTGGTGCAGTCTCCATTTGCCAAGTAGCTCAGAGGCATTTGTTGTTGGTCATTAGTGACCTGCACCCCAGCCCTTCACCCAAATACTGCCTGAGTGCACTTAAAAATCAGCGCTGTGGGCTGGGGAGCAGAGTTACCCAGACAAGATTCTGGTACAAGCTGAAAATAACCAGTATGATTTAGGATCTATTGACCATTTTCCCTGACACACACACGAATGGTACCGTAGAAAACTGAAAAGCTTTGTCAAAATGCAGCTCATTCCTTCCTGTGCTGTTTTCTAGTAAAAAAGAATTTCCTTTCTCAGTGGTGTAAAAGATTGCAAAATAAAAATCTGGCATTCTCTTCTCCCTCCCACTCCCCAACCCAAAAATGAACCTCAAACCCCAAACCAATCAATTATTGGGGCAGTCTGGCTGTATCCCTTGGAGTTACCCCCGCGTATCGCTAGCTTCAGAAAGGGAAATACATTTTAAAGTGCATTTACCACAGCAATAGTACCAGCACTAAAAGCTTTTCCCCTCATCCCTATTCTATTCTCATCATTCCATGTCTGGGATTAGATGATAAATCTCCCCCAGAATTCATCCTCCCTCACTGTACCTTGAAGTCTCAGTGTATATCTGCATCTATTTATGACACTGGAATGAAAGAAATCCAGCGTCGCGCATCCTGCTCCGCACTAAACTCTACTCTGGAGCTCGTTTAGATTTATTGGGCATGAGGATCCAGCATGTGGTCTATGTCTATTGGATACTGTGTTTAAACAGCCGCTGTGAAATTACATCCCAGTGTGCGTGGGGGGTGGGTGAAGGAACAGGACTAGAGAGAAGGACCTTTTCCCCCCCCTCTCCCCTGCTCCTCTTCCATTCGCTCCAGCCACGCAGCTCAGTACTTGTTGATTCCAAAGATCCGGACTCCATGAAATTGAGGCAGTTTAGGGATCAGGACGCTCATAAGGGAGATGGTGTTGATGATGAAGTGTATCCGGTCATACTTTGTGTAAAAACTGGTTAGAAAATACCTGGAAAAGAGGAGAACAGAATGGGGAAATGGAATTACCACACTTCATGTGTTTTTTGTTTCCCCAGGACAAGCGGTGATGGGTGCTGAGGTACTCACAGGACGATGGGCATGATGGTCAGGAACTTGCGGGACGCCGTGAACTGCACGCCGTAATCCATCTGCTCCCAGTGCGTCAGCAGCCGAGCCTTCCCCTGGTCTGGAGTCTCAAAGGGAGTTCCTTTCACGGTGTGGAGGAAGATGTACATGCTCTGTAGCAAACACAAAGGCAAGAGTGAAGTGCTCACGCTGCTCTCTACACCCCTCACCGCGCACCGGGAGTGTTCAGGGTGGTTGCTGGAGCTTGCACCAGCGCGCTGTCCCGCTAGAGGGATGTGTGGTCGCTGCTGGAGCTCCCAATCGCGGCGGCTACCGAAGCAGGCAGAGTTTGGGGAGGAAGGCCACTAGCCCGGGCTAGCTCAGGCTTGGCTCTTACATATGAGGCCTCTCATTCAGCTCCTGGGCATAAGCCAAAGAAGGTGGTTGTGAGATTACAGCGCTGGGATCTCTGGGATTGGGAGATTAGCGGGGACTCGCTCCCCAGTGCTCCAGCCCTGCTCAATGCTTCCTGAAAACGCTGGCAGAGCTGTAGGCACTGAGGGTCTGATTACTGGTCAGGTCTCCAAGGGGAACACAAGTGCCTGGCTACATCACATGGCTTTTAAGTATAACCATCACTGGGGCCTTTAAACTCCTTTCTGTTCCCAGGACCTAATGGTTTCAGCTGCCGGAGAAGGGGAAGGAGCTGGATGAAGAGCAGGCAGCTTGTGAACTGAGCCCTAAGCAGCTCTAGTTGGTGCTTTTCTGGTTCTTTTGGTTTGTTTTGGTTTTTTTTCCTCGAGATATCAGTAACATGAGTGTGAGGGTCCCCAGTCAGGGTGTCATTTTTGTCTCTGGAATATTCTTATCCTGAGATATTGTTTAAAATAAAGGATATGAAATAGGTTTCAGTATCTCTGAAGTATTACAGAGGTCTGCTGCTCAGCTGCAGGACCCGAGCGTGCCAAGACTTGCGCAGTGGGATGGCGGAGGCATGAAGTGAGCAGTTAAAACACAGCCTGGTGTTCTCCTGCTCGCTAGGGAAGCTGTCCCTGTGTGGCCACAGCTTTGTCAGGGCACAGCACAGGACAGCACCCTGCAAATGCAGCAGCTTCTGGTGCCACAGAAAGCCCAGATGCCCTGTGTCTGTCTGTGTGTCTGTCTGTCTACTGTGCTTACCTCTGCACCCCGAGCACAGTGTTCTGACACCCCTTCATGTGGGTACTGGATCCTTAGAAGGGGAGAATCTGTTCCTGGACTCATCTTTTACTTTAAGCAGAACAAAGTTTGTGTTTTAATCTTGAGGGTTTTTTTTTTTTTAACTCTGATGAGGCCAATTCAGATTTTATCAGCTGAAGTGAAAGCTGCCAGGCCAGCTCCTGTGGCCTGTCACAGCGACTCCTCTGTTCAGGGGGATGTGACAAAGAGACTACCCTGCAGGCAAATGAATTGGGTGTCCCCTCTGAGCAGCCTCACCAGATGTTTGCTGTCTCATCAGTACCTAGGCTGGATTTAAATCTATGACCTAGAGGCAAAAGTGAAGTCTGAGGAGTGGAGGTTGAGTAACTTACCCTGCATCTTTGGAAGCACAGAGAAAGGAACTGCTTCAACAAGAATCTCACTAGATTGCTCTCAAAACAACAGCTGGTGCTGAGAGATTACCCCTCCATGGAAGTCAGACCAATTGTGCTGTTCCCTTACCATGTTGTGAATGATGTTGGTGAGAGTCCACACCACGGGGACGCTGAAGAAGGGGATGCTGAGGAGCACGACGTGCAGCAGGCCGATTCCAAGGACGTAGGACAACCAGATGCCGCGGCTGTTCATGACGCGGGTGTTGGGATTCACCTCGCTGTGCGCTGTCCCCACGTTCATGTTGGCTCTCGTGTCGAACAGCAACTCCTGAAACTGAAGCAGAGTCGGGTCAGGTGAGCGCAGTGGGCATCGAGCACCTGTCTTGCTCTTAAACAAACCTGGAATCTTTTATTTGCTCTAAAAATGACAAGTTGGTTCATTTCTCTGCGCCTGGTTATTTCCATTTGCAGCACTGATGTTCCTGAGGGGAAGGGAAATGTGGGAGCGGATGAGATTTGGGAAGCCTGGCTGTGACAGAAGCTACTTGTGATCTGCTGCAATGTTTCCCTGGAACCAAGATGTTAAGGTTCAATCCTACAATTGCCTGACAAGACTCAAACAAATACTTGAAGCCCTTTTGAAGTCATTATCACAGCGTTAATCACGGAAGCGCTCGGCACATGAAGCTTCTTGCATGTTTCCAGGTTCAGTTTGCCTTCAACTCGGAAAGAGAACACCAGTGTTTGCAGAGTGAAAGCCCAGCAGCCTGTTTCAACAGATCTCTTAATTGATTTAACTAAATTTAACAGGGTTCTGCACGGCTCTCAAGGCTTGCAGAGATCTCCTGCCCTGACTTAGGTGTTTTGCCATCCAATTTAAGACTTACAAGAGGAGTAGTGGGGGGGAAAAAAAGGTAACAAAAATATTCCCCCGCAGGGAAGGAATGAGATTCTAATTGAGGAATGTAAAAAGTTAAGAGATAACAAGGAAAAGCACGTTGGGAGGATATTTCAGTAGCAAGAGCTGCAGAGGAGATGGCTCTTCGCCTACCTGGAAAGAACAGCTGCCATGTAGGAGGATTCCAGAGAGATGTTTTCCTAAACAATAGGAGGAAGACAAGGAAGCAAAACGGTGTCATCCTCTCAAGAGCAACTCTTTGGAGCGGTGCCCTGCGGACAGCACAGGTCCCAGAGGGGGAGGCTCTTTGGACTGTGGCACTGACCCCAGCAGCAGGTATCGCTCAGCTCTGAGGCTCTGGGAAGGTGAGAGCTCTGGTTTGCCAGTGTTCAGGGATTACAGGAAATGGCACAGATGGGAACTGCTGTGAAGCCCGAGTTTCTTTACACCGAGCTCAGGGAAGTTCTTCATAAACTCATCTTTATCCATGTCCCATGGAAATGTTGTTTCATTAGATAACGGGGTCTGTCCCTCCTCGTGTGAGGACCCCGGGGTGAGGCTGTTTCCTCACGTCCAGCCTTGTGTGTTGGCTGCTCTGGTTCCCACAGCTGGAGCACGCCGTTGCGGTTCTCTCTGGCTCTCGCAGCCTGTGGTCTCAGGAGGCCGGTCCGAGCCAGATCCCACATTACGCTCCGTACGTGGCTGCCAGCTGTTCCCAGCCCTGCTGGGCCTGCCTCGTGTCACAGCCTGCCCCTCTCCCTGCCCCCGGCTGGGACACAAAGCCAATGCTTGACTCCGCAGCTCCTGGGACCTTCGCTGTCACCTCCAAACCTCTTTCAACTGCATGAGCGGCTCCAGGCTGCCAGGTGAGCTGAGCAGATGTTCGACTCTGCTACCCAGGTGTCATTTGAGGGGCTTGCATCTGGAGAAGGTTTTTTTGTTACCAGAAGACAGGCTTGCAGGTCTGTGGAGCGCTTGTTTTCTTGTCACCCATCTCCTGGGGCAAAGGTCTTGGTCACTGGATCG